CTGAACTGCTCCTGCTCTCCTGGCCAGGCACTGCTGCCTCCTGCTCCTCAGCCTTCACATTCCACTGCTGCTGCAAGCACGTGAACAATGCATAGCATCTCGGGTTGTTCCCACCCAGCCTCCCTGCTTTTACTGGAAATGAAAGTCTTTCCAGGAGGAAGGAATCCCTTGAGATCCAAGCAGAGGTTCCCTCAGCTGGCTGCTAAGAATAAAAGATCTGAGAGCTATTTCCATTCTTGGTTGCGCAACACAAAGCAAGTCACTTAACCTTTCCATGCCTTATTTTCCCTCTGAAGGAACTGAGACATAGCATCCCACACTTTTTGGGGAAATACTGTGTTGTAATACCAGGGCAGGACTTCAGATGCCTCTGAAGGCTGCAACTGATTCCTACATAAGCTGGCTGCCATCCTATGGGCTATGAAAGATCCACATGAAGGATGGAGCTGCTCTGCTGGGAGGAAAGGCTGAGAGGATTGGGGTTGTTCAGCCTGGATAGGACAAGGCTTTGGGGTGACCTCATTGTGGCCTTCGGTACCAGAAGGGAGACTACAGGAAAGATGGAGAAAGACTATTGACAAGGGCTGGAGTGACAGGACAAGGGGGAATGGCAGTAGGTTTATTTTAGATATTGAAAAGAAATTGTTCCCTGTGAGAGTGGTGAGGCCCTGACACAGGTTGCCCAGAGCAGCTGTGGCTGCCCCATTCCTGGCAGTGTCCAAGGCCAGGTTTTACAGGACTCTGAGCAAGCTGGGATAGTGGGAGGTGTCCCTGCCAATGCCAGGGGTTTGGAACTGGGCAATATTTAAGGTTTCTTCCAACTCAAACCATTCTATGATTCTATGACTCTGTCTATTTTGCCCTCATCACCCTGGAGTCTCTCAGCATTGAATGCTTTCCACATTCCACCCTCCTGCTGAGTAGTTCGATTTCTGAGTATTTTCTCCCAGATGTTTGAGAATATTTTTTTTTTTTTGCCAAACAGTATTTCCAGTTCCCTCTGTACTGTCTGTCTATCCCCACTGTGCTGTTGTATAATATGCCAACATTTTGATCTTCTTACTCATGTCAGCTAGCAATTCCTTGCAGGAGTTTCAGCAGCTCAATCTGTCCCTCTATTTCCATTCTCTATCATAAGAGCCTTGCAGTACTCTTTAATCCCCTCCTCACCTCTTTACAGATACAGATAAAACCAATTTTAACAGCAGTCCAAGTCTGACCTCTATCAGACTACTACACTCTCTCAGAACTACCCCTTGCACAGCAACTTTCAGTTCCCTCTACATATCTGACTCCCCAGCTAGGCTGAATTTACTTTTCACATTTCATTTCAAGCTCTGCATCTCCTGCATCTTTGTTCATTAATTAAGCGAACAGGCTTGGACAGGTTTATCTAAAAGGCTGAGGCTTTGAAAATTGTCCTTCGATTATGAGTTTCACATGATTTTAAAGCTCATGGGTGAGGCTTTCTTTGGGATTTGTCAAAGGATAAATAGGCCCACACAGAGTTTTCTGCAGCTAGCTAAAATGCAGAGGGGCTGGTTTTATGGGTACATATTATCACTGCAAGAGGAAGCAAGACAGAGTGTTCACAGAATCACAGAATCATTTAGGCTGGAAAAGATCTCCCAATATCATTGAGTACAACCTGTGACAAATCACCATTGTGTCAACCAGAGCTCTGAGTCTTGAACACCTCCAGGGATGGTGACTCCACCATCTCCCTGAGCAGCCTGTTCCAATGCTTTCAGTGAAGAAATTTTTCCTGTTATCCAGCCTGGGCCTTTCCTGACACAGCTTGAAACCATTTCCCCTTGTCCTGTCCCTTGTTCCCTGCGAGCAGAGCCCAATCCCCATTGGCTGCACCCTCCTGTCAGGGAGTTGTGGAGACCCAGGAGGTCCCCCTGAGCCTCCTTCTGCCCAGGCTAAGCCCCCCCAGCTCCCTCAGCCACTCCTCATATGACTGACTCTCCAGACCCTTCCCCAGCTCCATTCCCTTCTCTGGACACCTTCCAGCCCCTCAATATCCTTGTCATGAGGGGCCCAGAATGGGAGACAGGATTTGAAATGTAGCCTCACCAGTGCCCATGGCAGGGGGACAGTCACTGCCCTGGCTCTGCTGGTCACACCATTGCTGATCCAGGCCAGGTGCCACTGACCTCTTAGCCACCTGTGCACAGCTAGGTCACGTTCAGCTGCTGTTGTTGAGAAGCCTCGGGTCACTTTCATCTGAAACAGAGCTCTAGGATGGATAGCCATGGGATGGACAAGCTTTCAGTGCAACTGCACCTCCCCAGCAAATACCCCCATCCATACCTTCTTCACTCCATGAGGAAGACACAAAACTCTGTTGCCATCCCAGAGGGTGCTCTGGGATGACAGCAGGACACAGCTGATTGCAGCTGGCTGTGATGGAAGCTCACGCTCAACTCTCTCGACAAGCCCTTCCATCCCTGCAGGAGGTGCTTCTCCGCTGCTCTGCCCCCGGACTGGAGGTACACAAAGCAGGGTCCGTCTGGCTGAGGTTGTGGCGGAGCTCAGGGAGCAGGGACGGCGCCGGTTCCTGCCGTTCGTGCGGATGCTGCGGAGGCAGCGCCCGCCGGGACGGTACCCAGCAGAGGGCAGCGGTGCCCGCGCTACCGCAGCCGCCCGAGCCGCGGCTTTCCCCCATCCTACCCCCCTCCAAAAACCACCCTGCATTGCCTCTAGGCTGGCAAACAGCCCACACGTGTAAACCTGCTCTCCTTCCCTTTGCAGCCGTAATCTCGACCACCCAAGCATCGACATCTGCCAGCGCTTGCTGATCAACCAGCGTGGGTCATGGCTCCTGGTTGTTCAATCACAACATGCAATGGCCTGGTTTGGAAGGGACCTTAAAAATCATCTCATTCCAACCCCCTGCCATGGGCACGGACACCTTCCACCTGACTAAATTGCTCACAGCACCATCTAACCTAGCTTTAGTCCTCCTGCCACTTGAACAGTCATGTGTAAGAAAGCTTTGGGATGAAGGAAGATAACAGTGGGAGTACTTCTAAACACCATCCCCCCGCTTCTGGGAAAACTGGTTTTCTCAGGGAAAAAAATAAAACTGTGACCTAGTGGTTAATTTACATGCAGAGGAGTCAAGAGTCAATTTTAATGTGGTTTGAACTGGTTCATTCATATCTAATTAAAACAGTAAGGGGAGGAAGGCTCATTTTATGCTCAGTTAATCAAAAGACTGCAGTAGCTACTTCTTTTCCTCTGGGGATATTGATAACTGCTGAATTCAGCCCTCTGGAATTAGCTTGGTTAAACTATTCCTCTCCAGAATCCGTGAAGCTTAAATCCACCTGAAGTCTTATTCCAGTCCTGAAATACATCTGATCTCAACCCTCAAACACATCTCTATTCTGACACATTATAGATGACTGGTCCTGTGCCTACAGGCTACTGCAGAATCATGGAATAGCCTGGGTTGGAAGGGACCTTAAAACACACCCATTTCCCACCTCACTGCCATGGGCAGGGACATCTTCAACTATCTCAAGTTGCTCAGAGCCCTGTCCAACCTGGCTTTAGACACTTCAGGGGATGGGGCAGCCACAGCTGCTCTGGGCAGCCTCTTCCAGGGCCTCACCACCCTGAGAGGGAAAATTTTCTCCCTAATATCCAATTTAAACCTACTCTCTAAGAGTTTGAAATAGACATATTAATACATATAAATATTGGGATGTTCAAAACTTAGCTAGAAAAGATCCTGAAATTCTTTTTTTTTTTTTTTTTAAGAAATTAGCTTGAATCTAAGTGGGGCTTAGGACTTCACAGATGTCTGTGGACCTCAATTTTTCTGTCACCTTCTGAATTTATGGCTCAGATCCTTCTATTCATGTATATGCTAAATATTCCATGCAGGAAGGAGTTGGTGAGAAGGACCTTCAGCCCTTCCCACCCTTTCTGCCCAGTTTCCTTGGACTCACAGTGTAGCCAGGTAAGCCCTGAAATCTACTTCCCTGTTGAACAGCTCTGCATTTTGTGATCCTGTTCCAGGACAGGGAACTCGAGATGCTCCTTCATAAAACATGTTGCTGTTCTAATTCTCCTGGAGTTTGACTTAATGATCCTTGTGAGTCCCTTCCAATTCAGGATATTCTATATTTTTATGATTCTAGTTGGATGGGACCCATATGTCATGTTGTAAATGAGGATCTTACAGTGTTTCTATAAACCTTCAAGGACCTGACAGACAGGTCAGCAGTGATTTCCTATTGACAGAAGCAAAAGAAATCAAGATCTTAGGGTCTTACAACAAAACCCTGTAATTTCTTATGAACTATAACATAGAACAATAAATCCTTAGTTACTGTTAAAATTTGTCCTCAGAAAGATTAAAATAAAAAAAAAACTTTAGAGGTGCCTAACTTGCCTTTTTCTTCTAATGATATCATCTGGACTTATAAAGGATATTTTCCTTCCCCATAAAACTGACCTCACTTATAAGGACAATCACATGCAAAGCAGCAGAAGTGATCAGTAGACCAAAGTAAACTGATTAACTGAACTGATGAAAAACTGGCCCTAAATTCCAATATATTTTTCTTAAAAGCTGCTTCTCTCAGGCATATGCAAACAGCTTAGTAGAAATAGTTATAGAATCACAGGACCTCGTTCTGCTTTCCCATCAGAACAATTCTGAAGAAATTCCACTAAAGTGAGCAGAGTTACACTGATGTGAGATCACAGTCAGAAATGGAAAATTCCTAATAGCTTATCCAGTTCATAACCCTAGGGCTAGCATACAGTTATTCCTTACACTAAAACCACATTTAATTCTTCCAAATATGAATAGTGGAAAATGGTGCTTGGGAGGTGTTTTGGTCATTTCGTGGAGTTTCTTTAATCCCTCATCCAATTTCTCTTTTTGGGAAAATCCTTGTTTTTGACTGAAAGCCAAAACCTCAGCTACATTGCCCAATAAATGAAATATGGAACAAAATGGATATGCCACATTATAAGAGTGTAATTCTGGGTGCCTCATGTACCCATCCTCCACCATGTGCTGGTTTGGGTTCTCATTAGGCTGGTGACACATGGAGACTTTAGAGAACTTTACTCTTTGTAAAGACAAAGCAACAGGGCAATGCCAGACACATTGGGGTGTCACTTCCAGGGCTTTCCATCAGAATTCCTTATGCGTAGCATTGGATTAACACATGGCAGAGCATCTATCCTTTTGTCAGAGGCATTTCTGCTTTCCAGTGAAATGTCTGAACATTCTATAGCAAGAAGATCTTCCTCAGTGAATCCACTCTTCTGTGAGATCTGCTCTGTCTGAAACAGCTTTTCCTGCTGAAGAACAATTTCAATAGTAACATTTTAATCAGACCTCATGGTAAAGAAATTTCAAACAAAAAAGGAACTCTATATTTTATTATCTTTTTTATTATTATTCTGGTAATACCTAATTATATCTATTTGATTGTTTTCAGGCACAAGGGCATTGTTAATGTGTCTGACACAGGAACACTGAAGTTGGCCAATGTTCCTTTACTCTCTCCTTGCTTACTTAGCACCAGAGATATTTTCCAAGAGCCATTTCTATAGAGGCACCTGGGACATCCCATGGTTGGTATGCACTGCTTCCTGAATGTAAAGGGGTCTATGCCAGCTGCTCTGGAAAAAGCTTAGATGCTAAACAAGATTCCAAAAATAAGTTTCTATGAATGAACCATTTGTCTTCCACCTTTAAAAGCAATGGTCTAAAATAAATCTGCTTGTGCAAGTTCTTGCTGAAGCATGTGAGATAAACGTGACAGTAAATCACACAAGCCACTAAACAGAGTCTGATACCACTTCCCTGTGAATGAAAAGCAGTAAGAAATCTCACAGCTGCTGTTCCTGCCCTTCAGCAACTTTTAATTTTTATTGATTGACACGACACCTACGCGCCACATCATCCACAAGAGGCATCAGGTCTCTTTCAGGAAAAGCAAATTATTTGGTATTGTCAACAGCTGGCAGAGGCCACCAGGAACTGCTTCTTCATTCATTTGTTTTTCTCAGACACCTATAAAGAGCTGTCATCACATATCAAACGAAGCAAGTATCGGACAGCATGTGTGTCTCAATGCTGGCACACAGCCTCCATCGCTGGGAGGCACAAACAGAGGCATGTCAGCCATGGCAAGTGAACAAAGTGAGGACAAAGTGAGTCCTGGGGCAGTTTGGGGAACCTCAATATAGGAAAAATACAAAGTTATTATAGTGTCCAAGAGAGGGCTGCGAAGATGGTGAAGGGCCTGGAGGTGAAGCTGCATGAAGAGCAGCTGAGGGCACTTGGTGTGTTCAGCTGGAGAAGAGCAGACTGAGGTCAGAGCTCACAGCAGTTCTGCAGCCTCACGAGGGGAAGAGGAGGGGCAGCTCTGATCTCTGCTCTGTGACCAGGGACAGGAGCTGAGGGCACGGCTGGAGCTGTGTCAGGACAGGGTTAGGGTGGATATCAGAAAAGGTTCTTCCCCCAGAGGGTGCTGGGCAATGAACAGGCTCCCCAGGGAAGGGTCACAGCCCCAAGGCTGCCAGAGCTCCAGGAGAGTTTGGACAGCGCTCTCAGGGATGCACAGGGTGGGATTGTTGGGGTGTCCTAAGCAGGGCCAGGGGCTGGAATGAATAATCCCTTCTAGTTACATATATTCTGTGATTCCAAAATGAGCTCAAGCACAAATTTTGCAGAGTTGGTTGCCTTCAAAAACGACTGCTGCTGTGGATGGAATAGCAAGACAAGATGGTGAAGAGTTTGGACCTTCTGAGACTGTGAGAAGCCATCTATGCTGAAGGCTGTTTCCTCAGTGACACTAATACTTGCACTTCACTGTCAACTGATGGTGTAAAAAGACTTTGTGTTATTAAATCAATATTGTATTATTTGCCCCCAATGTATTATTTGCCCTGAGATAAACTGGGCTGTGAGATGTGATGCTCTCTTTACCTGTGCAGATCCCTGATTAACAGTTGTGGAAATACTGTGCATTTGTGAGCAGGATGACCAGGATATCCCTTGATATGCACAAAAGAGACATATGGAAAAGAAGTTTTGCAATGTGTGTTGCATGCTATTTTTGGCCAACGTTAAAGCCAAAGGGCCACATGAAATACTGCATATCCTTACTGATGTATTGTGCTGCAGTAGTGAAGAATGAAGTGTTTCACTGGGGTAACAGAGGGAGCTGGAGGTGAGTGAAATACATTTTCCACACTGGAATGTGGTCAAGACAGTGGGTAAATGCCACTGCTGCCGAGGAAGGACCACAGATGTTCCTGAAGAGATCGGTGGTTGAGAGTTTGGTTTCTCAGCTGTGACCCAGCAGCTGGAGCAGCAAAGTCCCCCTTAGCACCCCTTGACTCAGCCCTGACTCAGAGGGAAGAATTGTGCCCTTTGAGTCACCAGCCCAGCCTCCTTCTCCTGGTGATCTACTCAGGCCCAAACTTGCACAGCAGATGGGAGCTGGCAGGGCTGAGCCCCGAGCAGGATGGGTGGCACAGAACAAAGCCTTGGCAGTGCCAGCGCATCCAGATGACCCACAGGACAACCGTGTTTAGGGGTCTGATGTGGGATTTATGGGATGGGCACCATGCTCACCTCAGGGAGAGCTCACTCTGAATGTTCACTCTGCTCCCTGGGGCCTCCACAAACATGGCCTGGGTGCTATGGACAGATTGCTGAGCCCAAGCTCATGTCCTGCAAGGGCAGGACGGAATAGCCTGAGGAATGTTACTATCTCCCACTCACCTCCTCTGGAAATATCTGAGCTTCCCAGAAAAGATGAGAAAAAGCACAAAACCCACACTATGCATGATCTGGACTGTGCTTAGCCTAGCTCTTTCCCTTGAAACTATATTGAACTCATTTTGGGGTGGTGAGAAGGGAGCTTGCACTAGAAATAGAAGATCTATAATTAACACATGGTCCGAACACAAAATAGAACCCGCAGAGGCCTCTCAAAGTTAGTAAACTTTGCTTGGAAGCACATTCCAAGTTTTATCAGATTTCTCTCATCTGCAGAAACAGAACTTCCTAGATCTGTTACACTTGCAAGCCCAACAGACTGGACCCAAATACATACTTTAGTTTTATGATTAAAAAAATCCTCCACTGACACACATTGTGCACATGTAAGTAATTTCAAGTCTTCAAGTACTAACCCTTCCCACCCTGAAGCAGGGGCAAATTCCTCCTGTCTTCTCACAGGCCTGCTATTATTATGCCACCTTTCATTCTGAAACCCAAACTCATGTGAAAAACACCCAGGTTAGTGAATCTGAAACTCAGCCTCCAACCATTCAGCAACCCAAATGAAAATGTTGTGTGTCTGTTAACCCATTCTTGTTTTCTCCTCTCAAGACCAGGCTGCTTATTCTCCCAGCAGCCCAGCTCATCCTGCCATTTAGGAAGTTTTCTGCAGGTACAATGACCTGCACACTTGAACCTGTATAACCTGTATCTTTCCATGTCTCCAAGGAGGCATGCATCTGAAATTCAACAAGAGCAAATGCAGGATTCTGCACCTGAGGAGAAATAGCCTCATGCACCAGCACAGGCTGGGGGTGACCTGCTGGCCAGCAGCTCTGCTGAGAACGACCTGGGGGACAACAGGCTGTCCATGAGCCTGCAGTGCCCTGGGGGACAGGAAGGCCAATGGAATCCTGGGGTGCACTTGGAAAAGCAGTGCCAGCAGGTCAGGAGTGATCCTGCCCCTCTGCCCAGCCTGTGTGGCACATCTGCAGGGCTGTGTCCAGCTCTGGGCCCCTCAGCACAGCAGGGCCATGGAGCTCCTGCAGCGGGGCCGGCGGAGGCTGCAGAGATGATTCAGGGCCTGGAGCATCCCTGGCAGGGAAAGGCTGAGGGAGCTGGGGCTGTGCAGCTGGAGAGGAGCCCCAGCTGAGAGGGGCCCTCAGCCCTGGGTGTCCCTGGCTGCAGGGAGGGCTCCGAGCAGGGCCCAGGGAGGTGGGACCAGATGACTCTCTGTGATCCCTTCCAGCCTGACCCATCCTGTGAATCTGTGGTTTCGTGGAATGAAGTTTCCTTGATCTTCACAACTATTTTTTCTGTATTTCTCACTGTATGGCCACGAGCAGTGACCTCAGATGCTGCCAGTGCTGCTTTCTCATCCAACTCCCCTCAGGCCCAATGCTTCTGTTGCTGCTGCCCGTTGATCGCCACATGAAAAAGTTTGTGGGACAAGTTTCAAGTGATGAAAGATGAAGAATAAAGTAGGGTTGAAGCCTACAAAGGTCCTGACCACAGAATAGAATGGAAGAAACATCAGATGTATTGAATAATTAATCAATATTTCTGCCTTTAGTTTTTCCCACATTATTTACTTTTTGAGCTCTTGTAGTATTGTGATTAAAAATTGCTTATTCTTTTTAAAGCCCTATGAAGTATGTGCTATTCAGAGATATAGGGGGGAAAGATTGCCAACATACATTAATATCCAGAGAGAAGACAAAGAAATGAAATCACAGGTATTAAAGGTGCCAGAAAGAATTAAAAATGGAAGCAGGAAGGAACAAAGATTATTAGAGATATCTAAGTGCTGGACAAAAAAGGGAGGGGATGAATATGATTTGGAAAAGATAAAGGAAAGATACCTTCTCATAAAGATAAACTGACAGTAAAAGAACAGTAACAAACAATGACAGGAAAAAAACAGTGAGGGAAGAACTGATGAAGATGAAAGCACTGGCTTCCCTAAGTAGAACTGGTTACCATGTAAGTACCACCCAGTGGGCTGCACATGACAAGGAGAGGGCAGAAAACAGAAAAATTAAAAAAGCAGGAAAGCAGATTAACAGGGAAAAAATGTAAGTTCAGGCTAACATCTTTACAATTTTAAAAAATTATTTTGTTAGTAGCTGTGGTTTTCTTTGGGGAACCAATATATTTTGTTAAAAAGAAATCCCAACAAAATCTTCAGTGTTGGTCAAAGAAGTACATAAAACCTAAGCTTGGTAACCCAAAACCTTTCTGCATTATACTTAAAACTTCCATGTTTTTAGAGATTTTTTATGAAAACCTGATGTTTCTGTGGGAAATTCATCACTTCCCCAGCACATCTATTTTTAGGCCTGTGTTCTCAATTAGCCTGGTACTCATTTGCAGCGCCACAGAAAAAGGGTGTGTCAAAGGGTTACAAAGGAGCCTGCCTGGCATTAAAAACCCACCCCAGTGACTTTATGGTAGCTGCCAGCCAGCCCTTCTTTTTGTTTCTGCATCTCAGAAGAGAAGTATGAGGTGTCAGATATTCTGGTGAGAACTTCTCATGGCACCAGATCATGATGTGAAATAAAGTGAACTCTAAAAACACAATGTAAAAGAATTATAGCATCAAGGAGTGGGTTGGGTTGGAAGGGACCTTAAAAGATCAACCAGTTCCAGCCCCCTGCCAGGGGCAGGGACATCTTCCACTATCCCAGGGATATCTATCCACTATCCACAAGCCTTGAACACTTCCAGGGATGGGGTAGCCACAGCTTCTCTCAGCAACCTGTACCAGGGCCTCCCCACCTTGACAGGGAATAATTTCTTCCTCATATCCAATCTAAACCTCCTCTCTGTCAATATGAAGCCATTCCCCCCTGTCCTGTCACTCCAGGCCCTTGTCAAGAGTATCTCTCCGTCTTTTCAGTAGGTCCAGTTCAGGTACTGGAAAGCCACAGCTGGGTCACCCTGAGAATGAACAATCCCAATTCCCTCAGCCTTTCCTCACAGCAGAGCTGTTCCATCCCTTTGATCACCTTGGTGTCCCTGCTCTGGACTCATTCCTTAACAAAGCTGAATTCTGAATTGTACTTTGGATATGTGATTGATCCCAGCATCATCTCTAAGTAATCCTTTTGCTTCTGCCTTTACATGTCTGAATCATCAGCTAAACTTGCTCTGGGAGAAAACCTGTAGTGGCTCTGTCAGAACAGACAATTGCAGTGCTAAATGTGAGTAAGTCACCCGAGCAGAAATTTGTCCTAGTGGCACTGTTCCCACTTACAAGCTTTGTGCTTGAGGGGATGAGAAAAACGGTCCGGATGATCCTGGGAAAGTTTGTACACACAGCGACTCAGCCAGCAAAGTGCTGGGCGTAGCACGCTGCCCACGAGTGGGTGTTCAGCCTCGGAGCAGGTTGGATCCTGGATCCATGGATCTGCTCCAGCACCTGCTTCACCTTGGTGACCAGAGCAAAGCAGCCCTCTGAGAGGCAGGAGGGCACCATGCAAGAAATAAGCTACCAAAGGGTCTGGAATGTTTTGGTGGACACATGGATCTCCTTCTGCTGTGTGGTTGAGTGCTCAGAGTCCTGATGGGTCCAGCATCTCTCTCACCCCACTGACTACCCTGAACCTCTCCACTGGGCAGCCCCCAAGCTCTCTGCCACTGCCCAAAAGGTCGTAACGCAGCACCTTCCTGTGATGGAAACCCAGAAACTGCTTCTCTGAGCTTCACCGACCTGGCACAAGGAAGCTCTTGTATTTGTCATCACCAGTGTTGCTATGGCCACGGCACACAGGTATAAACCTTGCCCAGGGGACATTGTTACAGGAGAGCAGGGTGCAGCCCAGGAACCAGTAGTGCTTTACTGACATGATTTATCTCTGTGACCCGTCCAGGTCTCTAGAGTTTATCCATTCAGTTGCTTTTACAGGAAGTCTCCTTACAATAGGGCCCTCAGCACATTTAGTAATAATATTTTACATCTATACTGGGCTTTGTGCATTCCAAGTGCAATACAAACTCATTCATCTTATCTTTTTATCTCATGACAGTTGCCTGCAGTGCTGATTTGGTTTGATCCCAGCCTCACAGGCTTTTCAACAGTGGAATTGTTACCTGACTAATTATCTGTCGAAGTCACGATGAGGGACTGGTGGCTGGGCTCCACTCTCAGTTTTAACCAGCAGCTCCTGCCACTCCAGTGAGAGGGCTCTTGGTCTTTCTGCTGCTGAAGAAAGGGATTTAGTTTGTTTTAGGGTGCTCACTAGGGACAAAACTGTTTTCAGAAATAGAAATACCTTGCCATTGATCCATGAGAAACAGTCAAGCATCTGTGTTTCAATTTTACCCACAAGAGATGAGGCTAACATAGGCCCTATCCTTTCTCCATTTGCTGCACTAAATGATGCACTAATTCACTGTGGAGTCTGTGGCCATGCCTTTAGAGATTATTTATATTAAACTAGTAGGTCACTGGTTGTAAATAAATTATCATTTCCATAGCAGGCAGTCTTGCATGCTGCATGCAGCTCAGGTCACTCAAGTCCAATAGTCCATCCAGACTAGAGGAGCTGCAAAAAGGATTTCAATGAAGGTGTACAAGGAGTGGCTGCAAAGGATGGGAGAAAAATGAGAAAAATGTTCAAAATTGTCAGAAAGAAGTGGGTCTTAAAAGTTAAAATTAGCACAAGGTGATACTTTTCAAAAGCTGAAATTAGTTAGCTACATCAAAAGAAATTAAGACAAATGGAACAAGTGATCTCACACTACAAACACAATTGAAAGTGGCTTATTTAGCTTTTTTTTTTTTTAATTTAGGAAAAATAAATCTCAGCAGGCATATGACTTTTTCAGGTTAAACATGTGATTTTAAACTTTGGTCTTTAATATTAATGCTGACCACTAGCATGACAGACATGAGTAAAAAAATGCTCCAAACTTAAGTTTTCCAAACTTAGTTTACCCTAAGGAATGGAAAAACACACAGGAAGGATCTCTCACCGGGCATCATCTCTCCCATCATATTGGCTGCCTTCAGGACTCTGCTTCATTGCAGCAAAATGAAACAGATGAGGACCATAGTTATTGTTTTTAAAGTGACTTCCAAGAATTTTCTTATCAGGACTAAAATGAAGCAAATTACATAATGCTGTGGAGCCTGGATCCAGCAACTCTTAAGGCTGCCAGAAATATCAGCTGTGTAATACAGATGGGCTGTATTAGGTGAGACTGAAGAGACTGAAACACATTTAGAAAATGCTTTTATTTATTTTTTTTTTTTCCTGAGAGGCCTCTTGCAACCTGCTACCCTCAGTTTTTGCTACCTCAAACTTTACTCACAGACTCGGAAAATTGCTCACTAGGAATTTTATGTTCAGTTAATGTATTAAAAGTTCCTTAAAACTCGTCAAGCTACTTTTTGCATAGAATTACAGAATGGTCTGGGTTAGAAGGGACTTTAAAGATCACCTTGTTGCAACCCCCTGCCATGGGCAGGGACACCTGCCATATCCCAGGTTGCTTCAAGCCCTTATCCAACCTGGCCTTGGACACTTCCAGGGATCCACAGGCAGCCACAGCTTCTCTGGGCACCCTGTGCCAGGGCCTCCCCACCCTCACAGGGAACAATTTCTTCCCGATATGCAATCTAAACCTCCCCTCTGCCAGTTTAAATCCATTCCCCCTTGTCCTGTCACCACAACTCGTGATGAAAAGTCCCTCTCCAACTTCCCTATAGATCCTTCAGATACTGGAAGGGGCTTTGAAGTCTCCATACAACCTTGTCCTCTTCAAGCTGAACAGCCCCAAGTCTCCAAGCCTATCTCCACAGGGAGGGTGCTCCAGTTCCTTTATCAATTTTTTGGCCTCCTCTGGACTTGCTCCAGCATTTCCATGTCCTTCCTAGTACATTTATCCAGCACATCGCCGTTACTTTGCAGTGGAAAGGTAAGTTTGCCACAGAACTTGGTATTTAAGACCATGTGGGATCTTGCACCCTCCTGTGATGAAGTCCTTGTGACCCAGGGCAAATATATTTTTATGCTACTATTGCCAGTTCAGTATCTTCTGTTGTGTATGTTGTGTCTTCAGCATCTTCTTTGTGGATCTCCTCCTTCCTCTAACTGAAAACCTGATCTCCAGCACTACCACTGCCCTCCCAGCTCCAAGGATTTGGTTGACTTAGCTACCCAAAATAATATTGTCTTTATGGCCTTCACTGAGTAATTCCATGACAGAGCACGATCTGAAGCCACGTTTGCTCTATTGTGTAAGACAATTTGTCAGGTACCCTTTGTGTAGCCCTAGTGCTTTGGAGACATGTATGGACAAATTTGGTGAGCTGGAAAAAACCCATTTCATGCAGCTAACAAAAGCTGCAGTGATCCAATACCTCCATTTCTTCTCAAGAGAGGCCCTGTTTCTTTGTCCAAGTTATTGATTCAAGTCAATTCTGTGTGGGAGTATCTGGAAACCCTATGGCTTCAACATTGTGCTTGAGGAAGCTTGAAGTTTGGAAAGCTCACTTCTGCTAAAATACAAATGTGACTGTTCCCAAGTCCCACCTTTCTGCCACCACTAGAGACGACTGTTTTAACACCCATGAAGAGGACTGTCCTCACTGCCATTCCGTTTTGGCCTGAATGGGGGCTGATCTGTGAGACTCTTGGTCTCAAAATGATCTTTCCAGTCTGGCAGAGCTGGGTTGGTGTCAGCTGAGCTTCTTCTGGTGGCCTGAGGCACACGTTCTGCCTAGGATCCTTCACCAGGTAGCTCCTGGGCAGGTGCCCTGGCTGGAGAGGCACTACCCTACCCAGCCTGTCCTGGAGAAGGGGCTGGCACCACGGTTGGGCACCATCTGCTGCAGCCTCTCCTCAGCTGCCAATGCTGTTTGGGTGCCCGTGGGGATGTGAAACTGCTGTTTGCCCATGAGGTGTAACTGTTTGTCAGCCCAGCCCACCACGTCCTTGCTGCTCCCTCAGCACGGTTATTGCTGTCCCAGCCTTTGATAAGGCGAGGGCTGAGATAGCTACTGTACTTTCAGGCGAGGCTCCAAGTCAGCGGCTACCTTTCATCTTCATTTTATTGCCAAGGACAGGGACACACAGGCCAGACCACTAGCTAGCTAATAAGTAATAGGCAGCTTTGCTGAGTCCCATGAACCTCCTCATCAGGTGATATATTTTTCATCCATATAGATTTATATACATTTTTTTTATATCTACAGCTCCCACAGCATGAGGAGCAGGCGAGGGCCAGCTCATGGTGTGTGTGTGCGTAGGCTAGTGGAAATACATGTCTGCAAAGGGACTCAGCTGTAACTGGGTAACTTGACAGGCAGAACAAACTCTTGCAGTCCTTTGCTCTTTTCAGTCTCCAAATATGACAGCTTAATCATTTCCTAGACGCAAAATGTCACAGAGATAAAGCAAAGTTTATAAAGGACGGCTGGTCACATCACAGAAAAATCTGGTGATATATAAAAACAAAGAAACTCAAAGTTCAGGAAGCATTTGTTTTCCTCTGAACTTCCCTCCTTCCTCTCTCTCAGCACTCACAAAGCTGGAAATTCGGCCTGAAGGTTCCTTAAACAAATATAGCTCTGTCCTTTACATCACCATACAGTTCACCATCAATGCCACGTTAGGTAAACTATGAAAGTCAAAACCCAGTTGCTTTGCTCCAGGCCTTCAAATGTACAGAGGTGCTGAAATAACTGAAATAGGAGTTTCCTGTAATAATTACGTTGTAGCTTTGTGTGTCTTACAGTATCATCAAACACATTCAAATTTAGACATGATTTTCTCCCTGCCAAAGTGGAAGCATCTTGGGGCCTTCAAAGCCATATTTCAGCTGACAGGAGAAGCACTGCGAGGGATGGGGTCACAGCCTTTCACCTCCTTTCCAGGGACATCACTTACAACTCGATGGACGCTCATCAGCCTCCTCTGCTCAGATTCCCAACCCACTCAGCTGGGTTGTATCACTAAATTGCAACTTAAAAGACAGGGTCTGCTTTTGCCTTTTTGTGTGTGTAGTATGGCTTCAGCCCCCCCCATCACACAAAAAATCAGCATGGGCAGGTGGCAATTTGGGCCTTTCACTTTTTGGTTTATGCTGTTTAGGGTTGATTATTTTGCATAGGTATTGGGCAAAGAATACATGAGTAGGAGAAGGAACCCAAGAAGGAGAATGTTATTCCAAACAATTCATACCATTGGCACAACAATACATTTAGCACAGCAGTTATTATTTACCTTGAGAGGACAAAGGTTGTTTTTTCTGAAATGTATAATTACATGTGTTCATTGCACAGGACTGTCCTTGAGCTCCAGCATGATTAGTCAGGTGGTTTCTTGTAAGTGCTTTTTGAGTGTCTTGATGAATCACTCCAGTTTGAGGTTTGTCATTTCTTGGTATTCTGGTAACGCATCTTAGCCAGGCAGAACGATTATGCATATTTGTTTGCTTTTGATTTGACATTCCTTTACCAGGAGAGCTTTGGGGAGGTTGGTGGCTTTCTGCAGCTCACAGTCTGAATGGCAAGATGGGGCTCACTCACTGTGTTTATCTGTAATGTCTTAGCAACCATAAAAACACCCTGGGACCTTCACAGACATGCTGGAGGATGCAGTCCTAGCCCTGGGCAACTTTCATTCTCCATCAAGAGCCACATGGTGTGGAAAAGCCACAAGAAAAGCTCTGAGAACAAGAATAAATATGATCCCATTAGCTGTGGCTTTCCAGAAGGCTGTGGATACCACAGAATCATGGAATGGTGTGGGTTGGAAAGGACCTTAAATATCATCTTATTCTTACCCACCTGCCATGAGCAGGGACACCTGCCACTATCCCAGGTTGCTCCAAACCCCATCTGACCTGGCCTTGGACACTGTCAGGGATGGGACAGCCATAGCTTCTCTGGGCACCCTGTGCCAGGGCCTCACCACCCTCACAGGGAACAATTTCTTCCTAAACCTAAACCTGCTCTCTGTCAGTGTGAAGCCATTCCCCCTTGTCCTGTCACTCCAGGCCCCTGTCAAGAGTCTCTCTCCATCTTTCCTCTGGGCTTCCTTCAGGCACTGCAAGGCCACAGTGAGGTCACCCCAAAGCCTTCTCCTCTCCAGGCTGAACAATCCCAGTTCCCTCAGCCTTTCCTCCCAGCAGAGCTGCTCCATCCCTCTGCTCCCCTTGGTGTCCCTGCTCTGGCCTGGCTCCAGCAGCTCCCTGTCCTTGCTGTGCTGGGATCCCAGGGCTGGATGCAGCCCTGCATGGGGGTCTCAGCAGAGCTGTGGTCATTGTCCTTTATTTAAGTGGACCAAGTCAGGACAAGTAGTGAGATGTCACTGGAGAATGAAACAGTGTATTTAGGGTTTGAAATTTCTATAAAAAGAAAATATGCTTGGTTCAGAGAAGTCCAGTTCACACAGTATGTATTGCATCCACAGAGGCAGTCCTTTCCTTTAAAATCCTAATTTGAAGCTACCAAATTTGCTCTCTACTTGGATTATTCTGAACACAGCTGTGACAGTATTCAGGACTTGGCCAGACAGACACTGATTTTCACCTCTGGATGCTTTCTTGATCTCCTATAACTCATTGCTGACAATATTATTTTGCCTTTTTTTTTTTTTTTTTTTTCAGGAGTGTGGGTGCATATTAGCTGTTAAAAAGCAATTTACATACCTTAGCTGCATTCAGCCAAGAAGCAACTACAGAACCAAACCAAATAAATCACAACAAGGGAAAAACAAAGAGGAGGTGCAGGGTGAGGGCAGCAGGACACTCACCATTTCAGCGCAAAGGAAGGGGACTTGAGTGTTTCCAGCAGTTTCCAAGAAACAGTGCTCCCTTATTCAAACTCTGTCACAGTTCTCTGGCATAGTTTCTGTAATCTAGCCACTCTTATCAGTAGTTTCTCCTAGGACCATAAGAAACCACATAGAACATCTTACTAAGATGACAGAACATTCTTTAATTGCTTTTTAGAAGGGTTTGCTGCAGGTTTAGCAGGATGGATTTACTTTATGGATTACAAAAAGGGAGTGGGAAGGGGTAAAGCAGCCCTGGTTCAGATCAGCTGCAGTCACTGTGGAAGCTCAGCTACAACCTGAGCCCACAGCATGCTCAAAAGAAATAATGACACTCATGATTCACCCCCTTCATGCTGAGGGGAATGTTGTCTCTGGAACTTTGTGGTAGTAACACAGATAAGCTATCTTGCTTAGGGAGTTTTATTAGAAGCATCCATCTAATAGGATAACCCCAAACTCAAGCAGCTCTCCGAAGGGTCAGAAGCCACAACTATGCTCAGCCCATACAGAAGAACCACAGGTCTTCTCCACACCAGCTTCCTGTAAAAGTCACACATTTGTCAATACAAGAATCTGCTGGATATTGGAAACAGAGAATGTGGAGAGAGTATAAATGGAACATAATTTAAAACAAACAACACAGGACCTACCACCAAGTGTACTACTGGCTTTTATATACAGCGGAGTGAAACCCACTGGAGTTTTCCAGTTTAAAAGAAGCTGCCACTTAATCTTGAGATTGTAATCTCAGTGTCATATATTTTAGGAATGTGAGAAGAGACTTCACCTCTACTTTGGCACAGATCACATGTGAGCTTACTGAAAACCCAAATTCAAACACAAAAATGGACCAGATTAAATACAAAGGGAAAATTACAAATAACTTAAGCCTAAATATTATTTGAGGGCAACCAGTGATAAGAAAATGGAAAGTGAGGGACATATACCTAATTAATAAAAAGTCTTACAACAGAACACTTCCAGAGGAGTATTAGAAACAAAGCAGAAGCCAGTTGGAAACAGCAAGTGACGTTGTCTTGCCTGCTTTACTTTCACTGAGCAAAAGAGCAGAGAGTAAACAAAAAGTTCAGGGAGAAAATGCAAAGGTTAGTTCAAAATCCTTTTAGCTTTAAAATTTCAGCAACGCATTGGCCTGAAGCTTTAACTCCCTCTGTGTCTCTCTGAGTGTTGAAAAATTCCGTCTCTATTTCCATCAGTGCTTTGTGGGTTGTTCTGGGACTTTGCTCAGCATGCACTTGCCTTTCCAACAAGCCAGGGCAGAGGATGCACTCCTTGGTAATATTAAAAGAGCAGAAAACCACTCCAGAAACACGTGGCAGGGATGAGTAAGCAAAGTCTTCCTGGTTGTTGATCTGTGATAGAGTCAGCAACTCCAGCAGAGGAAATATTTATCTTAGAAGGGTGCACAGCTTCCGTTAGGTTTTCACTCCAGCACTAAAACCTGGTTCTGAAAGCTTTCATGATTAGATGATTTTATTTCTTTCTTCCTTTGAGTCACAGCAGTGCCTTTTGCTGTGTGTTGTACCTGCTTAAGCAAACAGCCAGTGCTATTTGGTGAACTTTGCGGGCCAGGCAGGAATTTTCTCGCAACAGCGCAGTGACAGAGCAAAACATTCACCTCCACTGAAAGTTAGCAACACAGATAAATAACAGAGTAGATTGGCTGGGTCACAGGTAGGAGACCTCCCCTCCTCCAATAAAAGCTGTCTTCCAAGGCTGGGTCCCTGGAATCCTAACAGTGCTGCTAGGCCAAGAGCAGAGATCCTCATGCCTGTGGTATTTGCTCAGAGGGCATGACCACTTTGGGCAAGTCTTTCATGTGAGTCAGCTTTAGCTGATCCATGGGAAAATTCCTTTGTGTTGTCAGGCAGAGTTTGCTCACAGTTTCAAAGGATAATCCGACTGAAAGGAAAATACATCTAAATTTTAGCATATTTTGATCAGGTCTGTGACTAAACACAGTGCAAGGCAAAGGATGCTCAGGTTTTTTGCAGGCCACTTTTAATGAGGAAAGCCCTCTATAAGGAACATGCAGAAATACTCCACCCTATCTCTGGATTCTACACCATCTTTGACCACACCAAATGTCCTATGTGCAAACACCAATGAAATATATTCAGGTAAAAAGTGTAAGTTCCAATAGTGATGCCTGGAGAAAGTGAAGAGTTAATCCTGCAAACATTTATTAATTTGTTTACCCTGTGTCTTGTCAGGTTATTCAGTCACACAAGAAGGGGCAGCAGGGTCAGGGCAAAAGCAGGGCAGAGCATCTTTCCAGTCCCCTTCTGCATCTCTGTGTGAGGAGCATCCAGAAACCTCCACTACCTCACTGCTCTGGAAGATCTGTTCATTCAGAACTGAGCAGGGGCACTGGAAATCTTTGTGTCATTTCGTTGCCACATGGCTGTGACACTCAGGCCTCTGCCAGTTGAATCCACTGCCAATAATGTGCAGCATTAATGAGATGGCAGAATGCAGGTCTGCCTTCTTCCAAAGCCTTCCTGTACCTGAAGGGATTCTGCAAGAAAAGTGGGAAGAGAGTTTTTGCATGGGCCTGGAATGACAGGAATTTTCCCTGTGAAGGTGGGGAGGCCCTAGCACAGGTTCTCTAGAGAAGCTGTGGCTGCCCCATCCCTGGAAGTGTCCAAGGCCAGGCTGGATGGGGCTCTGAGCCACCTGAGATAGTGGCAGAGGGTTGGAACCAGGTGATCTTTAAGGTCCCTTCCAACCCAATCCATGATTCTGTGATTCCATAACACACACACACACACACACCTTGCCTATCCTTGGTGTCCTACTACCATGTAAACAAATGATGGTCCCTGTAGGATGGTGAATCAGCCCTGGGCCTTCAGAGCCATGCTGCACTGTATCTGCAACCTGGCTTAGTTCAGGTATTGCTTCCCTAAAAGAGCCAATTTCCATGAAGCCTCAAAGACAAGTTTAGTGACTAGAAGGGGCTCATATGTTAGCCAGTGAGAAATCCTGCTCTTCTGGCACAAAGAACTTGAGAACAGTTGCAGGGAATGAAGAGCTTGCAAAATGGATGCATGGACACAGTAGTTTAGTCACAGACTCCTGGCTAATATAAATTCTCCTAGCTTTTTGCCTTCATTGGATGAAATTGTTGTTCTACACCAGCTGAGAAGGGCAATACAGTGCATTGTAATCACTCAGCCATCAGCAGTGTCAAGAAAGAAGTTGCTAATCACACTTTTGTTTTTTTCCAGTGTAAGTTGCCAGTCCTTTTTTTTTTGTGAAGATAACCTTCAAAATGCCTTCAACCTCACTGCTGCTGGAAGTCTGTCAAGGTGAGCTCTCTGACAGAAATCAAATTAGTCACTACTCTTGCCTTTACTCACATCAGGCTGTGAATCTTCAGAGAGTATAAACACAAGATCCATAGCCTGAATCACAGCCCAGCCCCAGCATCCTCGTGAAGTGAAGGATCTGGGTGCTGCTCTGAAGATGTGTCACAGGTGAGGTGAACCCTGAGGAGATTTCTGGTGGCCTGCAAATGCAGAGAGAGTAGAGATCCCACTAGATGTCCCTCTGCCCCTTTATGCTCTTGCAGAGCATTGGCATTATGAACTGTCCCAGCTGCGCTCCGGTGCTGGACATGGAAAATACCAGACAACCTGGATAGATGGATAGATTCCTCTTACATGGAGCTTAAGGAGGAAGCAATGCATAAACAGCTGGGAGATGCCTGGATACTGCAGCAATGAATTCATGAACATTCCTGAATGTGCCCAATGTCTGATGGCTGCCCATGTAAATAACTACACATTACTCAAATCTACCACTTTTTGCTCACAAAAGTCTTACAAAGAAGGAGGAGGAGCCTCTGGTCCTGTAGAGGACGTCCTGGTGGGCACTGAAATTCTCTATATGATGCAGCCCTTCTAGGGATACCTGTTGACTAAAAGGGCTTCAGTGACTGCTGATACTCTCACCGTTTAAAAAAGGTTTTATGAAAATCTGTTTCAGCTTCTTGGCTATTTATGAAGAACTTGTTCTGGCTACAATTTACATTTTTGGTGTCCCCACAGATGTTTGCAAAGACCTTGTGAGAGTATGTGTGTGTGTGTTACTTGCTACAACATGAAGAACTTGAAAAGTAAATACCAGTACATAACATTCCTCAACACAAGTCACTGGAAAATTGTTTGCAGGTTGTGTGTCATGTGCACAGGGGTTCCCACAGGTGTTCCCTATAAACTCCATTGAAAGTCCTTGTTTTACAAAGGCTCCTGCAAAACAAGTCTCAAGTCCATGTGCTCAGACCCTCACAGTCGCATGAGGCCAATCAGGATATTTATTTCAGTACCAAATTTTAGAAGATGACTGAATCAGTCCTAAGGTGCACAGACATCTAAACCCCATTGAAAATACTGACAATTAGACACATAAACACTATAAAGAGTTGGGGATTTGGATATTGTATCAGGTGGATGGGGGCACAATATTCACATTCACAAACAGTAAATTAAAAATGACAGCCGACATGATTTTATGCTAGAATTGGGAATAAATTAATTTGAAAACCAGCAGAGGCAAAACCCACACACTAATAAATGATGTTTGAATCAGATACAGTTATGGAACCAGGGTGAGGGAAGGGATTCTGCCCCTCTGCCTCACTCTGCTGAGACCCCCCTGCAGGGCTGCATCCAGCCCTGGGATCCCAGCACAGCAAGGACAGGGAGCTGCTGGAGCCAGGCCAGAGCAGGGACACCAAGGGGAGCAGAGGGATGGAGCAGCTCTGCTGGGAGGAAATGCTGAGGGAATTGGGATTGTTCAGCCTGGAGAGGAGAAGGCTTTGGGGTGACCTCATTGTGGCCTTGCAGTGCCTGAAGGGAACCCAGAGGGAAGATGGTGAGAGACTCTTGACAAGGGCTTGGAGTGACAGGACAAGGGAGAATGGCTGCAAAGTGACAGAAAGTAGGTTAAGATTGGATATGAGGAAGAAATTGTTCCCTGGGAGCATAGTGAGGCCCCAGCACAGGTTGCCCAGAGAAGGAACCATCTTTTAAATGTGATACAGAATTTAGACAAGATGTTTTCTGTGATAATAATTGCTTAC